ATTTTTTAAATTTTTTTTTAAACTTCTTTTTTTTTTTTTAACTTGTTTTTTTTTTTTTTTTTTTTTTTTTTTTTTTTTTTTTTTTTAGTTAGGTTCAATGTGCTCCTTCCTTGCATATTGGTATTATGACTAGCTCTTGTCATGTTCACTATACTGTTTGCAATATCCTTTTTTTTTTTTTTTGTTTTAATCTATAGTACAGGCAATAAGATCCTCAATTATCTTGGTATTAAGACCACTATGTTAGATTTCATTTATATTCAATCCTGCTTGCTGAGCCTCTTCTGCAATCTATTGTTGTAGCATGATTAAATTGGTGAGATCATTGGCAATGAGGAGAAATGTAATAAATTCTACATGGTATATAGCTTGTCTAAGATTGAGTTGTTTGGTGGTATAATGTGCCCAAGATCGAGTGCATATACAGGAAATATTCATAACCATTATCCATGCATGCTTTAGCAAACACCAACCTCTAGCAGCATCTTGAGCTTATCAACTTGAAGACCATTACTAAAACAAAATCAGGTTTACTATTATCTGATTTACTGCTATTACTACTAAAGGAGGATCCTCCTTTGTCACTACTATTTGGAGATGTATTTACTTTAGAAATAGGTGACATTGGTTTATAACTAGCATTTACTATATATACTTGAACCTCTTTCTGTTTTTTTGACTTCATATTCTTAATTAAATTAACCACTTCATGCAATTCTAGGTTAATTTGTTGCCAAGTTCTCATATTTATATCCAATTCTCTATAAATCTTTCACTGAAGTAACTCCTGTTGAGCTGCCTCTAGTAACTATTCCTGAAGAAAAACTACCTGTTTCAGCTTGTTGGTAATTAGGTTGTAGTAAAAGAAGTAATGAAGATAAACTGGTTTGATAAGATCTAACTTGGTCATGGCATAATAACTATCTAATTTTTTGTGTTTATACACATAATATGTGTTTTCAAAATAAACATATCTTCCTATATACTTAAGATTTTTCACGTGGATAGTGCTTATCCTAGATAACTTCATCTTCTCTTTATTCTTTAAGACAAGTTTTTTAATTACTTTTTCTCCTTTACTTAATTTAATCTTTACTTCACTTTAACTAACTTCTACTATCTTTATTTTCTTTTCATAGAGTCTTGATAATACATTAGCATTATTATATTTTCTACCAGCCCTATGAATGATTATAAAGTTATAGGGTTCTAGACAAAGTATTTACCTAGCACACCTACTCTTTAACTCAGAGGTCTTAAGCTACTTAAGGGCAGAGTGATCGATAATCAAATAGAAATAGGCAGTATCTAGATACTGATGAAAATGTTCTATAGCCCACACTACAAAAAGATATTATAGTTCTGTCATATAGTAATTCTTTTCTGCTTTAGTAAGGCTTTTACTTTCATATGCTACCACATATTCTTTCTTATCTTTAATTAACTAGGCCAATATGGCACTTAATTCTGTACCTAAAGTGTTGATATATAGATGAAAAAGCTTAGAGAAATCAGGGTAATGAAGGACTAGAGCAGTAATTAATATTTGTTTTAATGATTTAAATGCCTCTTGTTGTTCTTTCTTCCACTTATATATCTGTTTTTTTTTTAATAAGTTATGTAGAAACTGGGCTACCTTAGAAAAGTTTTTATAAACCTACAATAATAGGAGGCTAATTCTAAGAACCCTCTTAGTTGCTATAGATTAGTGAGTATAGGGTAGTCTTTGACTTTTATTACTTTATCTTCATCAGATAAAATACCTTCCCTGTTTACTATGTAATCTAGAAATTTAATTTTCAAAGGGAAAAATTTACATTTTTCCTTATTTAATCTTAGATTCACTTTTCTTAAAGCAGTGTAAACAATCTTTAGGTACTATATATATGTCTCAGAGTAGATAGTTATATCATCAAGATACACTACTACAAACTTTTTTTTATAGTCTCTTAGGACTTCTTTCATAAGCCTCTAGAAAGTCACTGGGCATTACATAAACCAAATGGTATTATGTTAAACTTGTAAGTGTCAAATTTGGTTATAAATATCATTTTCTTTTTATTCTCTTCTCACATAGAGACTTGCTAGTAGCCACTAGCTAAGTTGAGACTAGAGAACCACTGGGTGCCTTGAAAGGACTCAAGAACTTCCTCAATTAAAAACAAGTGTAGGTATTTTTTTTAGGTACACTATTTAATTTTCTGTAGTCAATGTATAACTATTTCTTATGATTCTTCTTAGAGATTATGATAACAAAAGATAACTAGAGGCTACTCTTACACTTCCTAACAACATCTTTTTTCTTTATGATTATAACTTCTCTAAACAAGAACTCTTGTTTATTCTTGGAAGTATAGTAATAGGTTTGCTTAATTGGTTTGGCTATATCAATATTGATCTCATGTTGAGTTAAATTGGTATAGTCTAACTCTAAGATCTAACCTTCCTCAGCAATATTTTCTGCAAAAATACCTTTATTTATTTCTAATAAGGCATTAACTATTGTCATATTTTCTTCATCTAGATGATCTAGACTCTTTCCAACTCTTATACCTACAGAATTTACTTTGGTTAAGTAAATAGCTAAGTTGTCATCTCTAATTACTATTTTTTTTCCTCACTATCTAACTCTAATTCTTCCAAGTAATAGATTTTTAACTCTAATAACTCCTCTTTTTTGAACTCGAGTTCATCTACCAAGTCATCTAAGCTATCTGATTCTTCACTATTATCAACTAAGGGTTGGTTGTCCAAATAGATGGTAGGTATAACTGTCTTTTGTTTGTTATACTTTACCTTTAGGGTCTGGGTATTAAAATTCTATTGAGCTTGCATCTTTTCAAACCAATTGATACCTAAAAGAGGGTCTCTTCTGAGGACTCTATTACTTGGAGTTGAGTAGATACGAGTATATCTTGTATAGCCAAATTAATATCACTAATTTGGCCTAGTGCTATTTCCCTTTGCCTATTAGCTATAACTACGATGACTCTGAAGGGGGCATCTATATTTAATTCTAGTTTTTTCTTTAACTTGTCAGTGATGATACTCACTACTATATCTGAGTCAAGTATAATGATGATTAGGTTTTCTTTTACTCTGACATAATACTTTGCTATGGTAGTCTTGTATGAACTTATGCTATTTATATTACTTATATAGTTTACAATTATGGGTTCAGCTGGCTGGGATTATAGTATAATATTTTTGTGAAGTTTCTTCTCTGATTTAAGTATTGTAGCATCTGTACAATAGTTACACTAGACTACATACTTAGAATATCTGCTAAAATATTATATAGCCTAACTTAATCGATTACTGATAGTTGCCTTCTCATTCTTAATTTCTTTACAGGTGTCAACTTCGCAACCTTTGTATCTACTTGAATAAGACTGGGCTTGGTGCAATATTTTAAATTATACTCTTCTTGAGGCTCTGTTACTCCTTTTCTATAGGCCTTATAGTCCTTATTATAGGGTTGATGACAATCCTTAACCTCACTATTCACTTGCTCTTTACTATATAAATGTTTATCATTAATCCAAGCTATATTTACTCTTCTATTTTCAGGCCTATTAAATCTATTATAGTTACTTTGATTAGGATATTTGGTCAAATAGTTGTGTGCTAGGTGACCACGTTTATCATATATATAATAGTGCCAGGTTTTAGAATTTTTGGTATATGGATTATGCCTGGGTGGGTAGGGCTGTCTAGTGCTATTGTCTGGAAACACAAGTGTAGAGATAAGAGAAGCAAAGTTTAATAACATTTGCAGTATATTCTGTGCTAATAGATCTACATTATCTTCTAATCTTCTTTCTTGGGTTTTTCTCTTATTCTAGTTTACTTCTTATATAAAACTTCTCTGCTTCAACTTGTTTTGCTACTTCAACTGCTTTTTCTAGGGTCTGTGGGTCCTTTATTGCAGTGTACATAGCAATTTCTTGCCTCAACTCTGATATAAATAAACAGACAACATAATCGTCTAGTAGCTTACTTTTGAGATTAACTTTCTTTCTAAGTTACTTAAACTTAGCAACATATTTAGGGACATGTTTACCTTGCACTTGCTCAATATTATGCAACTCATTATGCTACTTATTTTTTCTCTCCAGAATACCGAAATGCTTATTAAATAATGCTATAAACAAAGTATTTTTGGTATTGAACCAGCTGGTAATCTTATCTTTAACATCTTCATACCAAAAAAAGGTGTTCTTGAATAGATAGCCAGAAGCGATTTCAATCTTTTGATTATCCTTCCAATTATTGGCTAACACTGCTTTTTCAAATATAGCTACTCACTCGATAGGATCTTCATCTTCTAAACTATAGAACTAATCAACTTTAATTATATTTAATTCTTTTATACCACCAGAGGTTTCTTGTTTAAACTTGTTAGCTACTTCTTTAAAACTGTTAGTAACTTGCTTGAAGAGTTGGCAAAGTTAAGTAGAGTTCATAATTAAATTTAAGATATATATAACTATAACCTATTATTTTATCTAGAGTAATTCATTAAACTCATACAAAGCTATTTCTTCAATTTCAACATTAATTCTTCATTACAAATCTCACAGTGTATTACCAATTGTTAACCTGCAAAGACCTCTTGGAAATAAGGTTAATAGTTCAACTAATAACAGAGAATTACATGAGTATAAAGATACAAAAACTGTATAGTGGTTTATTATAGTTGTAAGTATATAGACAAGTGAGAGAGTTTATGTTAGTAATTTGACAGATATGAGAGAGTATGTGATGTATTTAGTTTATAGAATTAAATAAAGAGTGTCCTTTATTATAAGTAATAATAAAATGCTATAGCAAGCATGTCTACAAAGTAGAGCCAAACTTGTCTATTTATATAATAATCCTTTCACTAATAATAACATATGGTCTTTGAGCTACAAGCATCCTACCCAGTATATATGTCCCTAATAACTCTTATTCTACTGATATTATTAATACCTTCTTTGTTCCTTATATTATAACTAGGACATATGATACAACTAGCACATATGGCATATTTAATACATTCAGCGCAGCAATCTCATAATCTGTGACCCATGATATAATAATAGTTAATCAGGGGAACAAATCAGCAAGGGTAATACTAGTTTAGCTATGGCTTTTGAGCTGAGCTGATAAGCCAGCTCAAGCTGGCTTGAGTTGATATCACATAATTTAATGTGATCATAATTAAGTAAAAATAAAAAATTTGATGTATCAAATGGTATTTAAATAGTATCATTGAATATATTGAATTTTTTATTTTTTACTAGTATAAGTCTATAGTATATATATATATACACATGCCAAAACAATCTAACTAATATCTCAAGACCCTTAAAACTAGAGTTCTGCAAATCCAGCACTTGCTATATGCCCAATAAAAATTTTATGCTGCTAGACACAAGACAAAAATGGTATACTGTGCCAGTTTAAAATATGCCAGACACTTTTTTAAGCACTTGGTATCAGTATTTATATCCACCGATTTGATTTTTAGGTGTCTTTTTTCGATAAACCATTACACAAACTTCTGCTTAAGTGACATGAAGAATAACGAAAGAACCTTCAAATAAAATAGTTTTTTGACCTCTACATAAGATAAATAAGCAATAAATATTCAAAGAACAGCTACACCAAGCTGAAGGAAGCACTATTACTAGTTGTTTGAAGCATTCGGGTATTTTCGGGTAGTGAAGGATTGGTTTACCATTGAACGATTGGTTGTATAATGGGTAAGGGTAAATTCGGAAGCAATTTTCAAAAAAACTACCTTTTTAACTTACTTTTAGCTAATAATTAATCATGTAGATATTAAAATATTCTATACACTTTATTATGGATTAAAAGTAAGTTTAAAAGACCATTGTTATAAAAATTCACTTTGTAATAAATTTTAATAGCAAATAATTCTCGATCATGATTGGCTAATTTTGGGTGAAACCAAATCGGTGGATATGTATATCTAGCACATACTATTATTTAACAATATTTGCCTAGTACATACATGTTAGTAGTTGCCTAGCATATAGAGGTAGAAGATGGAATTCATGAATAATTATTCAAGCATTGATCAAAAATTTTGAGTATCAAAATAAACTTCATTCATTGTTTTTTAATTTATTTAATTAAAATTTAGCTATTTTAATAGTGTTAAGTTTATTATTATTATTATTAACTAGGTGCTTGAGTTGCTTAAAGGGAGTTAGAGATGAGTGTACTGTAATTAATACAGTACAAGAGCTTTATGTTGTGATTAGGCTCCATAACTCGATAACAATACAGGATCTCATGTTCTGATTAGGCTCTATAGTTGTTGCAAGCAATACAAAAACTTTATATTTGGTGATTGATTACTCTTTATAAAAAAAATAAACTAAACAAAATCAGAATAAAGTTTTGACCTTTTTTATAGAGTTTACAACTAATATAGCAGTACAATGATCTCTTGTTGTATTTAGGCTCTGTGGCTGTAAGGATCTTATGCTATAATTAGACTTTATAACTACTACTGACAGTAAAAAACCTCATGATTGGTGATTAAGCTTCATAACTACACAATAGTACAAGAACTTTAAATTGTGATTAAACTCCATAGCTGCTATAGCAATACAAAAACCTATATTGTAATTAGGCTCTATAGCTACTACAAGCAGAGCAAGGGCTCATGTTTGGTAATTAAGTAACATAACTGTAATAGTAGTATAAAAATCTTACATTGTGTTTAGACTCCATGGATACAAAGATCTTATATTATTATTAGGCTCTATGGCTGCCACAGGCAATGCAAGAATTTTATGCATAGTGATTAAGTTACACAACTATGATAACAATACGAGATTTCACAGTGTGATTAAGCTTTATAAATATAATAACAATACAAGAACAGCATGTAATTAGACTCTATAGTTGCTATAAACAGTAAAGAATCTTATATTTGGTAATTAAATTCTGTGACTACAATAGTAATACAAGAACTTTAGACTATGAATAGGCTTCATAACTATAATAGCAAAGCAAGACCTTACATTGTGATTAGGCTCTATAGCTAGTATAGTTAGCACAAGAATCTTATGTTTGATTATACTTTGCAACTATGATAGCAATACAAGAATCTCATGCTGTGATTAGGCTCTGTGAATGTAATAACAATACAAAGATCTCATGTTGTGATTTGGTTCTATTATTGCCACAGGCAATACAAGAACCTCATGTTTAGCAATTAAGCTCTATATATGATAACAATACAAGAATCTTACATTGTAATTAATCTCATAGCTGTGATAGCAATGCAAAAACCTATAGTTGCTACAGGCAGTACAAAACTTCATTTTTAATAATTAAGTATTACACCTCATGTTGTAGTTAGACTTGTAGCTGCAATAGCATAAATTAATCAAAATTCAACTAAAAGAAATCAATAATAACAATTTTATACTTACTAAATATGAGTGCTATTAAAGAAAAATCTACAATTAAGCTTTTAAGCATATTTTATATACAGTTGGTTATCCATGTGCTATCTATAATAAATTATGTCTGATGTTAGATTTGCCAAAGATGGCACACAGATAACCAACTATGCAAAAAATATATATAAAAGACCGATTGTAGGTTTTTCTTTGATAGTACTCATATGGTTAAATATATTAAATAGTATAGACTGCATAATCTTACTCCTGAAGCATATGGAGAATATAATTAAAATAGTGTAGAAATAGTTTTATAATTGTTTATTAAATATGGGTTTTCTAGCTATATACATTATATACTTTGCATTAGAGATAGAAATAATAAATGAATTATAGGTTTATTTGGTATAATCAGTATAAACATTTTAATTAGTATAGGCAATATAAGCGATATATTATAAATAAGTTGTATAATATGCTATAATTAAAAAGAAAGTATATAATAAAGGCTTTTTACCCTTTAGAGAGACATTCTTCACGATTCACAAAAAATTAGTTTCATAATAATTCTATACCCTCTCTACTCTATAAATAAAATACTTATACCCTAATCTACACTTAAGTGGCATAAGTAGTATGATCGTTGTTTCATATTAAAAAGTGTACTAAAACTTTGTTTGGTTGATTCTTGACATATCTAGTAATTTTGGAATTAGATTTTGATAAGTTTGGTACCATTCGAATTATCTTAATAAGATAGTTCAAATAGTACCAAATTTATCAAAATCTAATCCCAAGATCACTAAGTGACAAAGATGACTCAAATTCTTTACCATGACCTAGGTCACGATTGAGTAAAATTTGATTTATCTTTGATATTTGGTGATCTTGAAATTGAATTTGAACTATTTTATTGAGATGATTCAAATGGTACTAAATTCATCAAAATCTAATTTCAAGATTACTGGGTATCAAAGATAGATCAAATTTCGCTCAATCATAATCTAGATTATAGTAAAGAATTTGATTTATCTTTAATATCTGGTGATCTTGAGATTTGATTTTGATAAATTTAGTACTATTTGAATTATCTCAATAAAATAGTTCAAATGGTACCAAATTTACCAAAATCTAATTCCAAGATCATTGGGTATCAAAGATAGATCAAATTCTACTTAATCATAATAGGTCTCGATTAATAGAATATATCTAAATTTTCTTTGATTAGGGAATTAGAGTAATAATCTAGTTTACTGTTAATATTGATATCACCAAAATCAATTATGAAATAGTTTATAATCAATATTAAAGTCATTCATAGTCAATATTATAGCTATTTTCATTA